ATATTAATATTTCTCAATTTTCTACTTTTATTCTAATAAATTGTATTGTACTTTATTATAGTGGAAACCTGTATATTTTTGTAATAAATAAATAAATAGTGTCTCTAAAGACAAAATCATAGATTTTCATGAATCAAATTCTTGTAAAAAGTATGAACCTATCATATTTATGCTTTAGTCTTTATGCTCAGAGAAATAAATTAAAATTAGAAACAACCAATTGCTTATTTTCTTGTGTCAAGTAGCTGTACCGGTACTGATCTGAAAGATATAATTATGTCAACAATTTCTCACCTCCAAAATATTCATCTTAATATCAAAGCTTTTTTTACTGATCATGGCACACATTTTATTACCTAGTTTTTCTAAAAGCTTTTATGTTTCTCCTAACAAGCCATATTTTGAAGTAGATGGAAAACAAATTTTTTATATTTTTGACCCACCTCATCTCTTGAAATCTACTCGGAACATGTTTTTTAAACATTACTTTATAATTTATTAATGACTCAAAAGTAACTAAAGCACATATTGATTCTTTTTAAAATGATGACTGAAAATAATCTTCGCTTAGCTCCAAAATTAAAACATGCACACATTCATCCAGGACCATTTGAAAAAAATGAGAGTTTATTTAGCTGTCCAAATTTTCAGTAATACTGTTGCTTCTGGTATGACTATGACTTTGAATTCTGGTATTTTGCCACCTAGCGCCCAATACACCATTGATTTCATCAGTGATATGGACAAATTATTTTGATGTATTCAATTCTTTTAAAGCACCCAATTTTAAAGAATTCAATAGAACATTTTAAAATTTTGAATCTCAAATTATTCATTTTTTGTGCTAAGGATTTCAAACATTTCCCAGGTGCAAATTTCATTGATGATTTAGATGACATTTTAGGTTCAGATCTACCACAATCTGAAAAAATTTTAATTTTGAAGTATTCCATAAAAATCTTATTAAATTTAAATATATTAGCACTTAGCATTGGTACAGCTGATTATAGACAACTTGACAATCCAGAATAGAATACATTAACTTATTTTTTTGTGGTTATTTAATGAGGAAATGCTTCGAAAAACATACTTGTCAGGTTTGTACAGATTATGTGTGTTATCAAACAGAGTTAAACCAGTTATTTCTTTTCAGTTTTTACAAATCCACACCCTACTGAAGACCACTCAACGTGTGGAAATTTAATGATGCCTCATTACCTCATGATGTCTTTTATAATTTTGTATCTGAATTAGAAAATATTTTAATTGACAACATTCCTTCTATTTCGTATAAAGACGGTGTGGGTACCAAATTGAAGCAGCAAATGATTAATGTACCCTTAAATCATCCCTGTAAATCTTTTAATAAAATGTTTTTGATTAATTAATTTACACGCTTAAGAATTTTTTTCAGCAATTAAATTTTTGAACAGACCTTTAGTGTCAAAAAAAAAATTAAAATATAAATAATTGACCATTCTGACACATTTGTAATCACACACACACTATTTTAGATGATTTTTTTGTATTCCAATAAAACATTTAATAGAACTAAGTAAGTATACTTACTAATATCTATCGATTCTTTTAAGTGATTGTCTAGAATAGGATCATACTGACGAATTAATTCTAGGAGTTCTAAATAATTACCCCTGTTCATAGATGTACTAGATTCATCATGACCACGAAGAGGTAATTCTTGTTTAGCTATAAAACACACAGCATCTGTCATAAGTTTCAGAATTGCACGATTTTTTTAAACTTTCACTATGCATTAAATAACTTAATGGTTTCTAAAGGCTTAGAAATCAAGTCACTTATAACTAGGGTCTAGGACAAAGGACTTGTAGCTTTAAAAAATCACCAAATATGCACTAAAATGTACAAAATATGCGTTTAAAAATAAGATTAGATGTATGAATATATTTTATTTAAATGTTAATGTTCACGATCGACGTCTCCGAGGCCCGACAGGCCCGTATTGATAATATCTTAAGCAGTAAACAATATCTGCAATACATAAATAAAATTAATTACCGGAAAATTAATCTAATCGGCAATCCTCGAGACGTGTCTCACAAGTTAACAGTTAACAACCATATTAATATGATCAACATTTAAAGTAATTTTAAATTCAACATTATTACATTATTTTGGTTGTATATTAAATATTTAAATTAAATAAATACGTCAATAATATTGTTAAAATGATAAATTATTGAAAATATTTATCTTAAGGTATAGAATCGAAGAAGTATGTACTAAAACCAAAAAAACTCGAAATATGCCTTTATATGCAAAATAAAATTCAAAACCTGCGTTGTTTCAGCATGAAACGTACCTATATGTTTCTTACTCTGCTATATTTACAAGGCTCAAATTTGGAAAAAAATTTCGTTTTACGTTATTTAGTATCAAACCGTTAAGCAATTTTTGTGTTATACGTTACTTAATATCAAAACGTTATTCATTTTTTATGTTTATTGTTATTGGCAGTATAAACGTTATTTTTTTACGTGCATCGTTATTGAAAATTGAAACGTTTTCATTTTTAAATTGAAATTTTTAACTCCATTAAAAATTAAAACATGACGTAAAACCTATTACATTTTCACAATTAAAATAATATTATAAACGATAATAATTGTCGATGTTTAATATTAATTTAATTTAAACATAAAACCAGAAGTATATACCAAATTCTACACATTACAGCTGTTTGATCCACTAAATTAAATGTTAAGTACTGTATGTAATTTTGTTATTTACGTAGATTTTCAGAAACAATATATATGTGATGTAGCCATGTAGGGCACTCTTAATTAAAAAAGGAAGACAAAAATTATGAAATATTCAATTTAGACAAAGAAATGCCCATATTTTTATATTTTAAGTAATAACATAAGAAATCACTCTGTCATTAGGTTTAAAAGTTATTTTGCTATCTAACAGGAAAAATGACACAAAACTTAAGCTGTGTAACTGATCAAATTGATACCTACATATAATTGATACAGTTTTGGTAAAATACTGTGTATCAGAGTAATTATAGCCTAAGAACCGTTTTTAAAAAAAAGGAAAGCTTAAAATTCTGTAAACTGTATATTAATCAAAAACTATGTATAAAAAAGCTATATATCATAATAAATATAATCAATAAATAAAAATAATGTTGCTCCGCGTGGAATAGCATGGGTATATCTTAGGATCTTACTCATAATCTTCGTTGTTTATAGTTAATACTTTTATAGCTATGTATTATATTATGATTCTAACTATTATTCCGATTGGTTCTTGAAATGTGAAGTAACATTTTCTGTTATTTTTCATTATATTTTTAAATTGGCAACTTTCGATTTCACTGATTTCTGAGTACAAATAAACATCTTACATTATACCTGCATATCCAGTATCCACACAATATAACCGGGCATAAATTTAAAAATAAATTAAAACTATAGGATGCCTTAAGCTATTCGTGGAATTCAATCTTATTGAAATCGTCTATAATGTCAATGTTCATTATAATAATGCAATATTATTAAATTTTAATTAATTAAAATTATAAATTTATAAACGTAATACGTAAAAATGATGAAAATAAACCATAACGTTTAATGATCCTTTATCAATTTAAGATTTTTTGTGTTTTCTGTTATGTTACGTTTTATGATTTTTTAAGTTATTGGTTTATCGTTTTGTTTTGTTTTTTGTTTTACTAGCATTGTAGTTTTGCTACGTTTTGTTTAGTGATAATTTAATATTACCGTTTACTGGTTTACTGTTTACCGTTTTGTTTTCTGTTATCTATTTCAATCGTTTTTTACTAGTATAACGTTATAATCATAACGTTATGTAAACGTTTTCGAGCCCTGTATTTTTGTCCAACCTTATTCTCAGAAAATTTCAATCTTTTACAATCTGAAAATGGTACCTACTGCATTTAGCTTTATACGAGGCCGAACTAATCTAGTCCAAACATTTTATTAATTACTAATTAGAGGAGTGTTATGATTACATACGCAATGTATTTTACATTTTAAAGGAATTTTGATGGGCAATTTGAGGAATTAAATAATTTTCAAAAAATATCGATTGTTAAATTGACAAATAATTGTTATTTTACCTACTGAGCATACAATATTTTCTACTTTATCCACTTTATCATTTTATATTTTAATGACATCAACTGGAAAATGTTATTCACAAATAACATAATTTGTGTCCAACTAATCAATGTTTAAAGCATCCAACCATTCTTCCTTTAAACTTTGATCTTTTGGCGTTACAATAACAGACAACTTTTTTTTCTTGTTACAGCCAAACCAATCAATTTTATTAGGATTTATTAGTTTAATTTGTATTACATAATAAGTAATAACACTGGAGAAATTAATGCAGTTTTACATCATACAAATTTCGTTTATTTTAAAAACATGATTATGTATAATATTATAGTAAAACATAGTGTATTAATACACAGTGGTAACCGAAGTGTTTAAAATATAGTATGACATAATCGTACATCATCCCCCCATTTTTATACTTCAAGTATCAGATGTAAATCATAGCATCTTCAAATATGTATTTGCACATGTTTGAACCAATTTTTAATCATTTATTTTTAAGTTTTAAAGTAAATTCTGGATGCAGTATTGGTACAGTGGGGGCCCCCAAATATCTACTAGGACATACAATGTAAGATAAATTACGTGATCGGCGCTACTGTCAATGTAAAACAATTATAAAAATAATATTATATTGTACAAATGCTTTATATCAATTAAAGTTCAAATTCCTATAATATTTGGTGGTAATTAATTGATAAGCCATTACTAGAATTCCTAACCATAGAAAAGCCCAACTATAGGTGAAACGGCTGCGGCGAATAGTCCGGCGGCGAGATGTCCGGGTTTGCCATTAGGTATTAATATTGTATATTTCAAGTTTCAACACTTTTATGTCATTATATTTTATAATAATATATAAAACATTGTTTTTTATGAATCATATATTTATTTAATTGTTCCTGCATTATATAATTATTAAAACGGTGATAATTTCCGAATACAGTAAAATAGTAGGTATTGTATAATGGGTGTACGAAGCGTCGAAGCATATTCGTTCATAAATATCCATTATCCATTATATTTCAAGAACGAGTACACACTTGAATACTTGATCTTTTAGCGTGGAACAATACGAATCTGAGTATAATAGTAACTAAAAAAAATGTACCGATTGTACCGATGCAACGAGTATTTTGGATTCGGTACTTTATTCATTTATTGTAACTGTGCCGATTGGAACGATTCTACAAAAGGAACGATAATTCCCACCACCATTTGCCAACCATATAGTGGCGCTCTTTAAAAATGTGGTGACATTTTTAAACGTTTTTCCACAAACAAGCGGGACATTGTCTATAGGCTAGGGGGGGGGGGAGAGACGTGGTCCGATCTGATCGTGGTGAAGACTGATGGTGCGCGCCGCGCGGATGCCAGGCGGTGGATATCTTAGGTTATTTAGTCATGATTATAACTATATATATTACTCTGCCCAATGTCCGTATTAGCGCTATTGTAGCCATTTACGGGTTTGTCACTGCTGCTGCCGCCTGCCTGTTGTTTTGTTAGCGGTTGTGCCATCCCGTTCCGTCCCGTCCCGGGTAATATAATGTATATTGTCATAATGTTACGTACTTTTAACTTTTTATTTTTTAAGTCATTTCTCATTTGTCACACTTGCGTGCTGTATGCTAGTATTTACGTTGTACAATATTTTATATCACATCGCAGTAATGACCATCCTCAATCATGGTAAGTTTTACTGACGTTTAATTATCGCCGTACAGGTCTAAAGCAGTTCCTAGCGTTCCAACTTAAATCCAGTGAGTCCGGCGATTTCTTTTTATGTGTTATCTTTGATTTCCGTATTCTAATCATACTGTTCTGTCGCACTTTAAAATAAAGCAATAGTACGATGCGTTCAATGCTATAAAACACGAGCTGTTTTGCTTTACGCAGGAATAGCGTAGGACATGGCGTAAGGGTTCCACACATTTGAACCACGTTTTACTGTATTTTTCCTTTTTTTTATTAGGATTTCAGTCGTCCGTTCCTTCGATTCAACTGGATGAAATCGCCTTGTTATGGATGTACATATATAGGAGTCTGACCATATGGCGTTAGTGGACATCCATTCCTGTTCTCTCTCGGGACGATCAGACGCTTGGTACTACTTGTCCCGTCGGAACGATGCTACTTCATAGGTAAGTAGGCATTAGCTTAGCTATTATACTTATTGAATAGATTGTTGAATGAATTTATTTATTTACTTACACATTTTAATTTTTAATTTTTCTACTAATTAAGTATAATTTAGGTAATTGAATTCAAATAATCAGTTTAAAAGACAATATAATCAATATCAATAGCTGAATAGATTTTATCGAGTCCTTGTACTATAATAATTATAATCACCTATCATCAAGTAGAGCAGCGGTTCTCAAACTTTTATTTCGCGTACCACTCATGTGTATTATTAATCTGTCGCGTACCATGTATGTCTATTTCCATGTGATCATGTTCAAACACAAATTGAAATATTCATTTATTTACTCTGTTCTATCACCTTGTGGCCTTTCGCGTTCCGACATGTAGTCTTCCGCGTACCATTGTTTGAGAACCTCTGAAGTAGAGTATATTAATTTGTGTTATCTACCTCGGTAGGTACAATATCATTAATTTGCAATGTGTAAGAGTGATGCTGTAGTGGTCCAGCCGGCTATCTTGTCGTATGCGCTCTACTGGCGACATTATGACTGCAGTATGTGCTCTACCGCTTGATTGCACTCTACCGTTTTTACCACTCTAATTGTAAGCAATTTAAGTTATTTTTATTTTTATTATACCATACTTCATACACAGGTGTTACGACAAACATCACAGTTTAGATAATTTTGAAAATAATAATATTATCTGGGCCGGCACGGATTATGATAACAATTTATAAATTGAAAAATAATAATAATGAAAAACAATAACACACATAAAATTATATAAATAATTAATGAATTAGTCAAGTGTGATACCATTTCAAATATTGCAAACAATTATAAATTATAATGTGTTGTATAAAATACTATAAAAAATGCTATAAATTATTTATATAAGACCGTTCGTCATCGTCATAATCAGAAAAATAAGATAAATATAATAATATAGGTAATTATAAAACTTGTGTCATGTCTCTCAGAAACGCGTCAAATGTGCTAATTTTGTTCAAACTTCTCCACCAAGTTTCAATGAGGTACCTGTAATAGTTATTACCACAGATATATAAAAAAACTAGATAGCCGACTTTGTATTAATAGTGAAGCAAAAGTAGCCATATTCCAACAGGGCAATGTTTACAAAACATCAATAATGATAAGAATTTTGTTAGTTGATGATAGTCCATTAAATAATTTGTCAAATTCCGAGTTTTCCGAGTTCGGGACGTTTGGGTGTTATTTTCAAAAAAGTTCAAACTACCAAGTATAATAATCTTTGTTTATAATATAATGCATTTATTTGTATGGACAAATCACATAATTTATCACAGATTATTTATACTAAATTATATTATAATCAAAGTAAGTTATTGACAATATCGATATATTATATTCTCTGTTGTGCAGTTACAATTACAATCACAATTAAATTTAGATTCAACTCATTGATTTGAAAATAAAATAAGTTGTGTCAACTTGTGTCTTTGGCTTACTGGATTTAATATAACAGAAGAAAACATTTTTCCAAATGATTTTAATCTTATTTTTAAGAGCTTTTTTGTTATTAGGGTGATTAATATTAATTTGTGTGGTCGTTCAAGAAGAGTTACATTGTTACAATTTAAATCTGGAAATATATTTTTTAGCGTGCTTAATAATTTTTACATCTAGTTGTGGAACATGAAGAGATTTTAAGTTGTCAGTAAGATGCAAAAATAGTTTTTCTGCATTTAAAATTATTAGAAAAACTGATTTAGAAGCTGAAATAAGACCACCTCGATTTTTTAAGTTACCAAATTTAGAATAATAATTTTCTTTACAATAATCATGTTCATTAGGTTTTTTTTACAAGGAATTAGTACAGTTGAAACAATCTAAATCAATATTTCACAATATAACCAGCAATATAGTATAAAATGTTATGTTTAGCATCTTGTAATTGACAATATATATTATGGGAGCTATCATAACTATTAAGGAGTTCTTTTTTTAAAGCAATATCGTCAATTTCATCTATAACAACTTCTTTATCATAATCAATTTCTTTCCTTTTTTAAAATTCTAACACTAAGTTATTCGCTAGTGTATTACGGGCAAGTTTTAACATATGACAGGCATCGGGAATAAAAAATACTTTTGTCTTACTAATTGGGTGTTCAAACCAACACTTTATGTCATCATAACTTGAGCCAAATTCACAACCAAGTATCTTTAAAGAAGAAAAATTAGTATATGCACCATCACATGTAACACTGCAGACATTTAAACCAAAATCATAAGCATGGGTTAATGCTGATTTTATAAGTTCAGCTTGAAAAATTGCTGTAATTTTATTTTGTAGAAAATAACCTACTGGCAGTTTCCACCTTCCGTTAATATTAACCAGCATAAAAACTAACACTCAGAGGCTGGAGTATCAATACCTTCAATATCTATTTTGTTTCCATAATCACAGTTTCCCACAAATTTCTGTAATTTTTCATCCCATAATATTTGTTTTTTTATAGACATAGCGTCAAACATAAGACTACAATGTTAATCATAAGGATTTCAATTTTTAAGAACAGTACTTCTTTAAAAAAACCTGGTTCTCTATCTACACTTGAAGTCCAATAAGGAATAGATTTGCAACTAGGTAGTTTCATAAAAGTCCTAAAAAAATATAATATATACATTATAATATCATAACTAATATACCTAACCATATAAATAAAAAACTATAAAGCAATTAAAACTATATTACCTGCAATACTTAAGTGCTTTAGGCGAATAATAATTAAGCGTTGTAGCAAATTCTTTAATTTCATTACTGAAGCGACAGCCAACTGATTTTCTACCTTTATTTTTAAATTCATTAAGAAATACCTAAAACTTTTGTCATACCATTAAACTTATCACTTAATAAACTTCCACATTGGTCATCAAGTAATCCCTTTGATCGTAGATTTTTCAATATATCTTCAAGGTTTTTTATTTTATTTTTTTTACACGCGAGACTGTTTTAAACATTTAATTTTTTTTTTCAACTATTTTTCTCGGTGTATCTAGTTCAGTACGTTTACGGTTTGTGATTGGAGAAAATAATGGCCTTATAATTGTTTTTGTAGATGGAGTAGACGATACAGATATTGTATTAACATTTGTTGGGGAATCATTTTTCACTTGGGATGTTAAATCATTTTTTGTAACAGTTGATAAATCTAAGGGTAGATCTTCATTTAATTCTAAATATGTTTCAACTATTTCAAATTTAGTACGTTTTTGGATTTTTTTCTTCAAATGTTGGGCGAGGAGAAATAGATGGAACTGCTGAATCTTTTAAATATTACCGGTAATTTCCCCCTGAGTTAATTTTAAAGTCTGATGGTAAAAAATGTTTACGGCAGAGAACACTACATTTTGTAGGAATGAATCCTTTTTGGCAGACCTCTGGTCCATTCAAAACTTCTGATATTATCCTTCAAAGGAAAACTAAAAATAAAAACCATTTTTACAATATAAAACTGTGACGGATTATGTTTTTTTCACACAGCAAACCTATTTACCTAAAAAAATGAATTTTACTATTTTTTTGTCTTCTGTTCACACATCCATGCGCAGAGCATGACACCACCTTGACTTTTTTATTATATTAATAAATTAAGCATATTATAAAATATAAGCCAAACAAATGAAACAAGCAACAAATCCCATTCAACTTGCTTTCTAATTGATATTTCATCCATAAGCAATGAGCAGTAAATTGTTGTGGTAGAATCCTTACAAACCAAGGAAAGCGTGTCAATAGCTTCTTTGATAAATCCCGTTTCAGCGTCAACATGTACACACCACTTACTAAGTGTTCTTGGGCAAGGAAGCACACAATTAAATTCATCGCGTGCAAAGCGATACGCTTTAGGAGAGTAGAAATTTAGAGTAATAGCAAACCGTCATAGTTCCATGCTATATTTTTTAGGAATCGTTTGTCCAGCGTTTTTTTAGCAAAATTAGTGATCAGATCTTTGTGCTTACTAAAATTTTGATCTATGAGGTTTAATTGGTCCTGATTGAGTAAGTTTTTTTCTTCTAAAACGTTGATCACATCTATAACATAATAAAGTGAATACATTTAACAACATTCTTTCTTAAATTATAACAAATTTTTGTAACACGTTTTTTAATACGTACTTTTTAAAGAAGAAATATTTTTTCTTTGTCTTCTAACTTGTTGATTGAGAACTTTAATTTTTTTTCGTTGATTAAAGTTCTCACGTACCAGGGTTGAAATTGTTCTTTTTAAAAAATATTTTTTTGGTGTGTCATTGTCACATAATATTGCAGCTTTAGAAAATAAATCTCTAGAAACGACCTACAGCATAAAATTATTTACATTTAAATTTGAAGTATTTATCAATTTATATTTTTATCATAATTAAAAGTTTTATTTATTATATATATTATTGTATTATTGTTAGCAGTGGCGGATCTAGGATTTTTTTATGGTGGGTGCTATTTTGTTAATAATAATAGCCTTAAAGTACTTACTATGAACAATTTGGGGGGGGGGGACTAATAATTTGATACTTAAACATAATTAAGCAATATAAAAATTATAAACAATTTAACATATATTATTTTTTAATTATTAAGTACTTTACAATGCAATATAATATAATATTATTTGAATTTTTTACAATTACTCGTATTATATTGACCAATCCTCCATTTGCATTCTTCTTCTTTTTTTTCTTGAGAACTGATCGACAACTTTGTCAATATCTATATCTTTATCTTTATGAATATTTAATAGAGCTAAACCATTTAGTCTAGACTCAGTCATTGTAGAGCGCATATAATTTTTTAATCTTCTTAAGGTAGAAAAAGATCTTTCAGCAGTTGCTGTTGATACTGGAAGTGTAGCAAATAATTGTAAGAGGATTTTGATGTTTGGAAAATATTCTTCACAGTATGGGAGTGATGTAACAGCAGTATGAGGAATATTTGTTTCTATTTTATTCCATTTAGTTTTCCAAAGATTAATTTCTGCTTTTAATACTAAATCTGAACTTGAAAGTAAATCTTGATCATAGAACATTGCAGCATTTAATATAGCTTCAGTGCTATATGAATCTTTATGAATTGGAATGAGACCTTCGAGTGGAATAACTTTAACAAATTTATCACTGAATCTTGATTTTAATTCTTGGATCATATGGTCTAAAAATGGTATAAAAATTGTTATTTTAAACCACTCCATAGGATTTTGGTTGACATTGGCATTAATGTTATTCCTTTTTGTTTGATGGCCACTAAGTCGAGGAACTTTTAATTCTTCATCAAATATTTGTAACTTTTGAGCTGCACTTTCAAATAAGGTGATGAATGTTGTATCAGGATTTTTACGAATGTCTTCAAACACATTAAGTATATTTTTGACATTTTCCATTGCACTAGATAGATCCTGTTTAGAGCTTTGTAATTGTATACTTAAAGACCTTGTGTATACAAACAAATTAGCCACGGTTTCTAATGCTACTACAAATTCACTTTGTTTAACACTTAAATTGAAACTTGAAGCTTTAAAAGATGTTTCTCGGTTTGTATCTTTCTCTAGTTCATCTAATGAAATTAAAATAAATTTATAAAGTTCATGGAATGTAATGATGGAGTCAAGATTTTTGCACATGCATATCAACTTCTAACTAATTAAAAAAAGCATCAAAATAACAATAACTTTAATTTAAAATGATTTGCATTAATAACAATTGAGAAGTAAATTTCAAAAGCAAAGCTAGATGCAAAACGCAAGCATTAATATCAATAAAACTATTTTTATTTTATTAAAGAAATATTACCTGCTGAGAAACTGAAGAAAAATCTGTCACAGTATTATTGACTAATATGACTTTACATGGATCAGTTACTTGATTTACTTCAATTGCTAACTAAGTTTGAATAAAGATGAACAAAACAATAAGATTAATTCACTGAATAAATATTCTGAATACCTAGTCTGAACATGTACTACTTACTTTATTTGAAATTGTAGAGCAACTATTATTATCCGATTCAACACATTCATTGTTTCTAGGTTTTTTACAAAAATAAGATAGTATACTCATACTGCCATTTCTCTTGGACCTTTTAGATTCATCACTTTCATTCATGATTTATGATTTCAGATTTACGAATGGACAATGGTTAATTAGTAATCACTAGTCAACAGTTACCTCCTTATATTTATTATAATAAGTACTAAGCAGAATGACCGTTGTTCAACAGCTAGGTAATGAGTGATGTACGAATTATTTTTATTTATCACAAAAAATATTTAATAGCATAAAAATACAAATTCAAAGATGTTAACAGTACCTATCATGGCAAAATATTTTTTTTCTGTGATAATATCATGTTTAGCATGTTCTATGATGATATAGATAATATACAAAAACTAATGTTTTGACAGCCGAGCAGCTGACTTATCAGTTAATCTGTTCTAACCTAACCTAACTTATAGAAAACCAGTGTACCTCAAAATTGTGCGTAGTCGCCGACCGGTTTTTGCTACGCAGCGTCGCGCGTTCTGGTAGCCCGTACCAAAAATTTGCCACTCGGCGATTTATTAATAATTTTTAATGAAAATACGCGGAGCGGTGGGTGCTTCAGCTCCCAAGCACCCCCCCCCTAAATCCGCCACTGATTGTTAGTATGTATTATACTTAGAGAAAGTAAAATAATAAAGTACATAATCAAATTTATATAAATGATACTTTTTGTACAGGACATCCAATTGAAAAAGGAGATGGCTCATGGTCTAATATACTTTCAGTACTACTATTTTTCAGTGTATTGGAAGAACTCTGTAGTTCATCACTTACACAGTCAATTGGTTGAACACCATCAATTTCAAAATCATAAGTTTTTACCTAAAATATTCATAAAAGTATAGGTTTATTCAGTATTAATCAATATATTAAATTGCATAAGTTTAAGGTAATTTATGCCTTTAAGCAGACGCATGACTGCATGAGTGCATTTTTTAATAGGTATTAAATATTAATAAGTATAATCACAGTGTAGTCACAGTTTTAGGTTCAGTTATTTCAGTGATTGCCGGTTTTAAAGACATAAACTTGACCTCAGGTACATTGATTTTTGCCTAAAAATTGTTTGTAAATTGAACTATTAATATTTTATATTCTTTTAAAAAAAATTGTTTAACTTGTAATAATCATACCAATTTCAAACGACTTACGGATATTGTAGGAACTGAAAATTCTTTTAATAAGTTTGTGTTATACTGTTAAAAGCAATCTGCAGTAAAATGTTCAGAACACACAATACTTCTTAATTTAATAGTTTTATCATCCGTTTTAAATTTCCTAATAAAATCTAACCACTGTTCTCGACACTTTTCATTCTTTGGTATTCTATAATACTAATAATAAATAAGATTACATTATAAAATAAAAATATATATTAATTTGTTATATTAACTTATACTTACTGATGAAAACTTATTCCAAGATCTTTGCTAACAGAATTTCTTGTACACCACAAACATAACAACTCGGTATTATGGCATATATACTCGTAAGTTTACGACAGAACTAACAAAATGGTAACTTTAAAACTAAGCACATAACAAATAACACATAAGTACGCAGGCGATAAATCGTAAGTACACAACTACAAGAAAATATTCTTATTATTGAATAATGAGTAATATTAATACCGGTAAGATAATAACGATGATAATTATTTTACTAATCCATAGAGTAATTTATGTCTCTATGTATTAATCTTTATGTATCGTTAATTTACAGTTTAACAAACATAAATCAATAATAGGAATTTTATTTATTCATAAATGGTTACTATGTAACTCGACTTTTTGCTTACTTCATATGAATATTTACTATAGCCACCACCTGGTCTATTCATTACTCAATAATTAAAAAAAAACCTAAGACTAGAATATTAGTTATTAATATTTATATTTGTGCCAAATTTCAGAAGTAAGTTTATAAAGTTAACTTAAGAAAACATAACTTCTTGTTATTACAACGATTAAGGATTGGGAACACAACATATATTACTATGCTTGTTAAAGTTTGTAATGTTTCTTATCAAATAATTTGCTTCTTGACTTATTTCTTTCACTTACAGTTTGTCCTACAATATGAAACCATTTAATTAGCAGGATGTTGGGTAAAATTCCATATTATTTTACTAAACAAAACTGCAATCATATACAGTTTAAATAAATAAACTTCATTTTCAATTTTTTTTTTTTTTTGAACCCCAATAAGCATTGCTTGGATTAGGTCAAATAAGTTAAAATAGATGTATTAAGTAGAAAATACAAATCACATGACAAATGTAAAATACAAATAAAAAGTACAATCAATAACAGTTTATCTTAATCTATTATTTACATTAATTAAATGAGGAACATACTACTTCAATTACTTTTCTCTATAATAATAAAAAAAAATCTGACTACAAATGTATAAATATTAATGTGGTCTTAATTTAAATTTAAAAATATGACAACCTATTTATGATATTATAACTTTCTGAAACAAGTATATCACAATCATAAAATTATACTTTATGTAATATATCATCTTAAATGTGGGGTTTTTAATATAAGTAAATTTTCAACTGTCAAATTTGAATATTATTACCTAGTATATTTTAATTCATTTTAAACACAATTGGTTATGTTGGGTTTGTTATTGGTATCATCTTTGGACATGTTATTAATTTTGGTCAAGTTTTTGCATCTACTATTCTAATTATTTATCTTAATATTTTTAAATAACAATTTTAAACTTATAAAAAATATGCTAGAAATTATGAACTGTAAAAACTAATTATAGAAATCAACTATTAATTGATGTATCTAAAAATAATACTATAATATATTCTAAATTTAAGTATATTGTGTATTGATTGTTTGAACACTTAACTAATTGTAATGTATTTAGACGAACTGAAAATATAGAATGTATTTATTCATAGCGATGAAAATAGTTATATTGTGAGGATATTATATTAATTTGAACCTCTGGCAAGGCATGGTGTTCTGTAAGTTCAAGTAAATATTTATTGTTCTATATACTGGCATTACATTTGTTGACTGAAAGTTCAGGTGTTATTTTTGTATGGTATGCAGAGTAGACACTTCAGAAGCCATATCTTGGTACTGAGGTTATGCTGTTTCTCCAGTTGCTTGTTCTTGGATGGGTGACCAACCAAGAATTGAAGTGATACGGATTACCAATAACTATCCTATAACTAATATTGAGCTTTAAAACAATAATTGTCAAGATATCATATGGAACTGAAGAAAAATTATTGAGAATTACAAATTACATCAACCTTGTTAACATTGTGTATCGATCTAATATATTGCAAATGTCTTGAGTGTTATAAATAATTAGTATACAACTATAGTTAGATTGAATGTAATCATTTTATGTATTCAATTTATTAATTTATAATTTAAAAACTTATCCTTAATTACAATTTCAGCCACTAATATATTAAGTACCCAAATTTATTAACATTAATTAAACTAGTAATTATTGTAATTTTTTGTTGTGTAAGACTGCTGTGTTAAACCATTAGAGTGATAAAATTAATAAATCCTAACATAACCACTTTGATTAATATGTCATACTTGATTCAATTTACACAATCTAAATATCATAGTTTAGGTACAATAATAAAATAGTAAAGACTGAGAGTAATGACATAAAATTTTTCAAATATTTCATAAAAATAAAAACACGTTTTTGGGGAAACATGAAGAGAATCCTTATATGGATGAATTCGGTATGTGTGTAATTTTGTACACATAGGTACATTATAAAGAGCACCGTGGAAGTAATGCGCAAGCGGTTGCCACGGCGTCGTCGATTTAAAAACTGAAAAGAAAAAAAAAGGTACATTATATAGAATATGCATTATATAGTATATTAAATATACATAGGTATATTTGTATTTTGTACATATATTATTATCTACTACAGTAATTGAGTAGAATTGATAAATTTCATTCACCAGAATGCATTTTTGTGCATTAATAGTTCAATTAATTACTATTTATTACCTCTAAGATATTTTTACAGCATGCATTTTTCTGTATAGGTTATGCACATTATAGTTTTTTAATGAATTTGTGAACCATCTTCTGGGATGAAAAATGACATCATTTTTGATTGTACTATTTTTATTTATTAAGTGATTTATATTTTACGGGCTAAGCCTTATTTTTAGATGGATAGAAGTATACAGTTTTAATTAACATTTATAATATATGCGTTAACAATGACAACAGTTCAGAAATAGAATAAGAGGAAACAGATATTATATCTGTTATACGTCTTATTTAACAAAAAATGGAAAACATTTAACTAAACAATTTAAAATTACATTAATAAAACTTCATGAATAAAAAATAAATGTTATAGAAATTTAATAAACTTTACATACACTGTTTTTGTGATTAATTGTATTGATTAATAACAACTATGATAGAATATTAAAAAAAAAAAATGCTGTAATAAACACAGTTATTGGGGGTATTAAACATTAATATCATAAACTTCATTATTCAGGTGTATTTTGAAATGGATTAATTGCTAAATTTTTTCTTTATAAATCATTTGAATATTCCCGCTGTATTTTACATCCATTTTGTTAATTTAATCTATTTTTTAACTATCCCAACAGCATTATCAGTATTAAGTGTTTTAATATGAATTCCTAATCCTATTTCCTTACCAGTTAAGGATAAATGTTTTGCTAAGGACACAATGCTGAGCATTTTCTAAGTTTTTTTCTTTACAACTTAAACTGAATATTTACAGTAAACATATGTATGCACCATTACTTAATCTAGACTATTGAGAATATATAATATAAAATAGGTATTATGTTTTACAACGAAAATAATAATTATCTACTAAAAGTGTTAGGGTCAAATGGGGTTATTGTAAATAAATTTTGTTACTTTTTAATATTTTTTTTATTTTCTAAATTATAATTAACAATACATTTTTTCCTCATCAAAACCATTCATAGACATATCCTAAGCTTATAAAATGTCCTATACAAGGCAAGAATATTAAATCACTTAAGAAAAAAAAAAAAATTTACATATGCCCCATACATTTACATTTGCCCTATTTATTTATATCAGAAATAGTTCTAAATAAATAAATAAATTATGCATTTAAAAAGAATAGATGTTTTAATAGTTAAATGTTAAAATTTAAATAAAGCATGAAGCATTAAGCAAGTAAAGCAAGTAACTATGGTCTATGGCAGCGGTCCTCACTAGGATTGTAGAATGGACCAAATAATGTAGTTTTTGAAAATTATTTGCGGTCATATCATTATAATGATAATAATTAAAAATATAAAATTATATATATATTGTTAGGAAAGGGTATTGTAGGAAAAAGTACATGAATGACACAAATTTTTTTCTTGAATTTATAATTATAATTTTAAATGTCAATTCATAGTTTATTTTATGCAAAATACAAATCATTCATATTATTATCATTGTATATTAAATTTATATATTTATTAAATTATTAGATTAATATTGATATTTTTTTAATTAAAATTAATTGATATGATTTAATGTTGTTTTGATGTTGATAGACGGTATCTTCTGTTTCTTTTATAATCTTGTTTATGTCTACGGGTGTATTTGATGTTGACAATAGCGCACTACGTGGTGG